AGGCAGTGAAGATGTCCTGTCTAAGGGCAATGTGTGGTGTAAATATTATGAAGAGAATTCGAAGTGTGGAAATTAGGAGAAGGTGTGGAGTTAATAAAAGTATTAGTCAGAGGGCTGAGGAGGGGTTGTTGAGGTGGTTTGGTCATTTAGAGAGAATGGATCAAAGTAGAATGACATGAAGAGCATATAAATGTGTAGAGGAAGGAAGGCGGGGTAGGGGTCGTCCTCAAAAAGGTTGGAGGGAGGGGGTAAAGGAGGGTTTGTGAGCGAGGGGCTTGGACTTCCAGCAAGCGAGCATGAGCGTGCTAGATAGAAGTGAATGGAGACGAATGATTTTTAGGACCTGACAAGCTGTTGGAGTGTGAGCAGGGTAATATTTAGTGAAGGGATTCAGGGAAACCGATTATTTTTATAAAGCCGGACTTAAGTACTGGAAATGGGAATTACAATGCCTGCACTTTAAAGGAGGGGTTCGGGATATTGGCAGTTTGGGGGGATATGTTGTGTATCTTTATACATATATGCTTCTATGCTGTTGTATTCTGGGCACCTCTGCAAAAACAGTGATTATGTATGAATGAGGTGAAAGTGTTGAATGATGATGAAAGTATTTTCTTTTTGGGGATTTTCTTTCTTTATGGGTCACCCTGCCTCGGTGGGAGACAGCTGACTTGTTGAAAAAAAAAAATTATAGCAACATTTCTATAGATTTGTTTCCAAATTTACCCTACCCTTAATAGAAACTTTAAACCTAATAACCATGATTTTATGGCCAGAGTAGCCATGACTAATTAGGATTTAGTGAGGGGCAAAGCATGAGTAGATATTTCATCCTTCAAGCTTATTTTGAATATCACATTTTCACTCCGCCTATTTCTGACTTACAATGTCACTAGTAATCCTCTACATGTCTATGGTAAATAAAAAATAGACAGAGGGAGAAATGAACTAAGTAAGAGCAAATACTGTGACAAAGAATACACAAGTAATCTGAGGCACTAAACAGCTCACTGGCATTGATAAGAAGATAGTGGTTAGCACTTTACAACTAGGGTCCTTTATCTGTCTAAATGCCAATACAGTGGACCCTCCCATTTCGCTGGGCTCTGTTTTCACTCATTTCAGTTTTGCCCGATTTTTTTCTGTAAAAATATTAGCTCAGTTTTCGTTGGTGGCTGGCGGCTCAGTTGTTGTTGCTTTCCTCCATCTCGTCGGTGGTACGGTACAGGTCTGAATGTACCGCTCACACAACCTCCCCACACACATTCTGAGACAGCGTTGCTTTGTTTATGGTTGAGTGAACATAACTCTGCGAGCTAACACGAATTATTTCTTGATAATTCATTGTTTCTTGCACTTGCTTATTTTGTGTGACTGCTAAATAAGCCATGGGCCCAAACAAAGCTGCTAGTCCCAGTCCTTTGGTAAAGAAGGTGAGAAACACAATAGAATTCAAGAAGAAAAATCATTGAAAAACATGAACATGGCTTACATGTGATTGACATTGTGAGGATATATGGCAAACCTGCATCAACCATCAGTTCCATCGTAGCAAAGAAAAATGAAATCAAGGAAGCTGATGTTGCGAAAGGGATAAAAGTGATAACAAAACAGAGATCACAAACACTGGAAGATGTCGAGAAATTGTTGTTGGTGTGGATCAATGAGAAACAATTAAGGGGAGAGTGTTTTGCAGGTGATAATTTGCAAAAAGGCAAGGCAGTTGCATGCCGATCTTGTAAAGAAAATGCCTCTAACGAGTGCTGATGTTAGTGAATTTAAGGTCAGCAAAGGCTAGTTCGAAAAATGCAAGAAGTGTAGTGGCATAGATAGTGTTTTAAGGCATGGTGAGGCAGGAAGTTCAGATATACATGGGGCTGAAAAATTTGTGCATAAATTCAAGGAGTACATGGAGGCTAAAGAGGTCTTTGTGGCATTTATGGATTTGGAAAAGGCGTATGACAGGGTGGATAGGGGGGCAATGTGGCAGATGTTGTAGGTGTATGGTGTAGGAGGTAGGTTACTGAAAGCAGTGAAGAGTTTTTACGAGGATAGTGAGGCTCAAGTTAGAGTATGTAGGAAAGAGGGAAATTATTTCCCAGTAAAAGTAGACCATAGACAAGGATGTGTGATGTCACCATGGTTGTTTAATATATTTATAGATGGGGTTGTAAGAGAAGTAAATGCGAGGGTCTTGGCAAGAGGCGTGGAGTTAAAAGATAAAGAATCACACAAAGTGGGAGTTGTCACAGTTGCTCTTTGCTGATGACACTGTGCTCTTGGGAGATTCTGAAGAGAAGTTGCAGAGATTGGTGGATGAATTTGATAGGGTGTGCAAAAGAAGAAAATTGAAAGTGAATACAGGAAAGAGTAAGGTTATGAGGATAACAAAGATTAGGTGATGAAAGATTGGATATCAGATTGGAGGGAGAGAGTATGGAGGAGGTGAATGTATTCAGATATTTGGGAGTGGACGTGTCAGCGGATGGGTCTATGAAAGATGAGGTGAATCATAGAATTGATGAGGGGAAAAGGGTGAGTGGTGCACTTAGGAGTCTGTGGAGACAAAGAACTTTGTCCTTGGAGGCAAAGAGGGGAATGTATGAGAGTATAGTTTTACCAACGCTCTTATATGGGTGTGAAGCATGGGTGATGAATGTTGCAGCGAGGAGAAGGCTGGAGGCAGTGGAGATGTCATGTCTGAGAGCAATGTGTGGTGTGAATATAATGCAGAGAATTTGTAGTTTGGAAGTTAGGAGGAGGTGCGGGATTACCAAAACTGTTGTCCAGAGGGCTGAGGAACGGTTGTTGAGGTGGTTCGGACATGTGGAGAGAATGGAGCGAAACAGAATAACTTCAAGAGTGTATCAGTCTGTAGTGGAAGGAAGGCGGGGTAGGGGTCGGCCTAGGAAAGGTTGGAGGGAGGGGGTAAAGGAGGTTTTGTGTGCGAGGGGCTTGGACTTCCAGCAGGCATGCGTGAGCGTGTTTGATAGGAGTGAATGGAGACAAATGGTTTTTAATACTTGACGTGCTGTTGGAGTGTGAGCAAAGTAACATTTATGAAGGGGTTCAGGGAAACCGGCAGGCCGGACTTGAGTCCTGGAGATGGGAAGTACAGTGCCTGCACTCTGAAGGAGGGGTGTAAATGTTGCAGTTTAAAAACTGTAGTGTAAAGCACCCTTCTGGCAAGACAGTGATGGAGTGAATGATGGTGAAAGTTTTTCTTTTTCGGGCCACCCTGCCTTGGTGGGAATCGGCCAGTGTGATAATAAATAAATAAAAAAAAAAATGGAGGCCGAAGGATTTGTTCCCCAACAAGTGTTCAATTGTCACAAAACAGGCTTCTTTTCGCAGAAATTGCCAAAGAGGACCTACATCACGCAAGAGGAAAAGGGACTGCCAGGACACAAGCCTATGAAAAACAGGCAAACTCTCTTGCTCTGTGGTAATGCTAGTGGGGATTTCAAAGTGAAGCCTTTACTGGTACATCACTCTGAAAATCCCAGTTTGTTCAAGAAAAACAATGTTGTCAAGAGTAAATTGTGTCTTATGTGGAAGGCTAAGTGAGGCATGGGTTACAAGGGAAATTTTCCTTGATTGGTTTAATGAAGTGTTTGGCCCCAGTGTGAAGGAATACCTCCTAGAAAAGAAATTGCCACTTAAGTGCCTCTTGATAATGGACAATGCTCCTGGTCATCCTCCAGACCTGGACGACTAAATGGTGGAGAAGTTTAATTTCATCACAGTGAAGTTCTTGCCCCTAACACCACTCCTCATCCAGCCCATGGACTGGCATATCATTTCAAATTTCAAGAAACTCTACACCAAAGCAATGTTTCAAAGGTGCTTTGATGTGATCTCAGACAATTACCCTAAGAGAGTTCTGGAAAAATCACTTCACTACCAACAATTCCATAAGCCTTATAGTTAAGGCTTGACAGGGAGTGACTTCTAGGACGAACTCTGCTTGGAGAAAATTGTGGCCAGAATGTGTCCAAGAGAGGGATTTTGAAGGGTTTGGGGGTGACCCTGTCGACCCTACACCTGTTGTGGATTGTATTGTGGCATTGGGGAATTTCATGGGGTTGGAGGTGAGTGGCCAGGATGTGGAAGAGTTAGTGGAGGACCACAGTGAAGAGCTAACCACTGAAGAGATGCAACACCATCTGCAACAGCAACAGAGCACAGCTGTGGAAAATGCTTCAGAGGAGGAGGAAAAGAGAGGAGAGAATGTGCCTTTGTCAGTGATTAAAAGTATGTGTGCAAAGTGGAGTGAGTTGCAGTAAAGTGTTGTGCAGAAATATCACCCTAACAAAACTGTTGCAGGGCATGTCAGCAACATGTACAATGACAATGCCATGTCCCATTTTAGGCGAATTTTAAAGAGACGCCAGAGACAGAGGTCTCTGGACAGTTTTTTTGTGCGACATGGGTCCAGTGACTCTCGAGCTGGTCCTAGCGCCATTAAAAGACAAAGAAGGGCAGTAACCCCAGATAAGCACTTGGTACCTGAAGACTTTATGGAAGGGGATTCCCCTTCCCAACAATAGTGATTTCTCCCTCTCCCCTGTCTACCATACACCAAGAGTCGTCAATAAAAATGAGTGTTATGTTATCACACTATTGTTTTACACTAGTACTTAATGTCTCATTCTTTTCTGTATGTAAATCTATATTTAATGTATAAAAAAAAATTTTTTTTTAGTTAATAATTCTGGGTGGCTGGAATGGATTAATTGGATTTACATTATTTCTCATGGGGAAAATGGTTACAGTTTTGGCCGATTTAACATTTCACTGGACTCTCTGGAACGAATTAACAATGAAAAGGGAGGGTCCACTGTATAGACAGTATTATATTTTATGCAAAAGCAATTTAACATGCTGGTTATACACATTCGTAAATGTTCAGTGATTAAAGGTTACTCTTTCCACCCTAAATATTCTACTACAGCTTTCAAATCTAAATTATGTAACATGTGCATTCTTCTGTTACTTACCTGTATAGCCTCTGGTATATTACCAGAGTCTTTGTGGATGGAGGCTAAGTTGGAATGAGCATCAGCAAAGGCAGGGTTGATTTGGATTGCACGTGTATAACACTGAAGGGCTCCTTGGATATCCTGCATTTCTTTAAGCGTGTTGCCCATATTACTGTGAAAAAATGTAGTAAAAATTATTTGCAACACAAAAATATCATTTAAAGTATACAAGTGATTAATACAAAACAAAGAAGTTAAAGAGAAGAACCTATTGCTTGTATTCATGGTTTTTGAAAAAAAAAAAAAAAAAAAAAAAAAAAAAAAAAAAAAAAAAAAAAGCATATGACAGGATGGACAGGGAAGCAAAGTGATAAGTGTTGCAAATGTATGGAATAGGTGGTAGTGTTAAAAGCTGTAAAGAAATTTCTCCAAAGAATCCCCAATTAAAGTTTGAAGAAAATGCAATCAACTTATTTTTAATATGAACCAGTGTTAGATGGGAATAACGTCCCAGAGTTTTTAATGCTTTTTCGTGAGCTTACAAGAGAAAGCACTGCTAGTCTTGGGGAGATGTGGTCTTAACCCTTAAACTGTCCAAACGTAGATCTACGTTTGTGCGCGTAGCGCTCCAACCTTAATTTTCTCCATAAGAAACAATGTAAAAAAAAAAAAAAACGTGGATCTATGTTCGGAGCGCTATGCGTGCAAACGTAGATCTACAAGTGAGAGTTGTCAGGGATTTCAGACATTCCACTGCTCAGATTGTTCAAATTCTTAGTTTCTTAGTTATATTGTTATTATGTCTCCCATTCTATCAATTAAGCACAAGAAAATGCCCATTCAATTACCAGAACTATTCTATAAATTGCAAAGAAATTGTTAACTTCACTAATTTTACACAAATGATATTAAACAGTAAATAGAACCAGAAAAGCCCTTCAAAGTTGCCATTTTTAACCAAACACATGCAGATCTTATAGGTAGTAGGTTGGAAGACAGCAACCGCCCAAGGAAGGTACTACCATCCTGCCGAGTGTAAAACGGAAACCTGTAATTGTTTTACATGATGGTAGGATTGCTGGTGTCTTTTGTCTGTCTCGTAAATATGCAAGATTGCAGGCATGTTTTGCTACTTCTACTTATACTTAGGTCACACTACACACATACATGTACAAGTATTTATGTACACACCCCTCTGAGTTTTCTTCTATTTTCTTTCTAGTTCTTGTTCTTGTTTATTTCCTCTTATCTCCATGGGGTAGTGGAACAGAATTCTTCCTCCGTAAGCCATGTGTGTTGTAAGAGGCAACTAAAATGTCGGGAGCAAGGGGCTAATAACCCCTTCTCCTGTATAAATTACTAAATTTAACCCTTTTAGTTTTTCCGACGTACTAGTACGGCTTACGCGCCAGGGTTTTTGACGTACTAGTACGCATAAATTCTAGCGCCTTCAAATCTAGCAAGAGAAAGCTGGTAGGCCTACATATGAAAGAATGGGTCTATGTGGTCAGTGTGCGCAGTATAAAAAAAATCCTGCAGCACACAGTGCGTAATGAGAAAAAAAAAACTTTGATTGTGTTTTCGGTTTAAAACAGTGATTTTGCACTGTATTTTCGTATGGTATTTATGGTTGTATTCTAGTTTTCTTGGTCTTATTTTATAGAATAGAAGACACATTACAGAAATTGAGACGATTTTGATTGGTTTTACAATGAAAAGTACCTTGAAATTGAGCTCAAAGCAGCAGATATGTTCGATTTTTGCCAAAGTTCAAATGTAAACAAATCATGCCAAGCGTCCAATACACGTCAACTGGTGAATCTAATATTCTTTCACAAGTGCACTGATATTTATACCATTTCTACACTAATATAGTAGTCTGCACAACAGTAAATCTTCTATTTTTGTGAGAATAAAAATTCAAAGTGGAAAGCAAAAGAAATGTAAGAGGGGTCTGGGGATGTGACTAATGAACAGAGGAAATGTTATTTTAGTGCCAGGAATGTCTTTCCTGTTTATTCTGGACCCTATTTGGAAATTGGCATCTTTTGAAATTTGTGTGAAATTGGCAAAATTGCTAAATTCTGACCACTTTATTGGATAGTTGAAATCAGTAAATGGGTGGTTTCTTGTACTCATTAGATAGAAAAAATGGAGTTCTAGCAAAATAGTTGATTTTTGTCGACTAGTACACTGGAATTAGCCGAAAATAGGGCTCAAAGTGGGCAAAATCGCCAATGCGTAAACATCGTCGTAACCGCTAACTTCGCGAGAGCATAATTCTGTAAGTTTTCCATCAAATTTCATACTTTTGGTGTCATTATGATCGGGAAAAGATTCTCTATCTTTTCATAAGAAAAAATAATAATTTTTTTTTTTTTAAATTTGGTGACCCTGAGAACAAGTCTGGGAGAGGGCCTGTTGACCCTGAAAGGGTTAAATAATGTATAACTACACGAAGGACAATGAAAGGGTTAAGTGATAAGGGAAACAAACGATACCACGGGTGGGGTTTGAACCCGCAGTCAGAGTCTCAAAACTCCAGACCGTCGCGGTAGCCACTGGGCCAGCTAACGCTACAGTCTGGAGTTTTGAGACTCTCTGACCGTGGGTTCAAACCCCACCCGTGGTATGGTTTACTTGCAATCGTGTCATTAAGATTCCGTGAGTTAAGTGATAATGGGGTTGAATATGCAGCAGGCATGTATGTGTTAGATAGAAATTTGTGGTTTAGTGAATGTGACGAGCTGTTGGAGTGTGACCAAGATACCATTTATAAGGGGATTTCAGAAAAACTGTTCAACTGGTCTTTGTATTAAAGTAAAACTAAAGGAGTGCACACACACTGGTGCCAATATTAATAACACTGCGGAAAGATAATGATAGGTATCCTGTCTTTAGACAAGCAAAAGTCTATGTAGCCACAAACTAAATACCCTGGGATAAACATGGCAAACAAAATCGAGAAAGAATGGATAGATATCAAACCCAAGAAAGCAATAGAATACTAAAATCAGGTAGATTATCCATGTCAAATTCAAAGAATACATTAAGACATACCTGTAAGCATCTGCAAAAGTAGGCTGGATACGTATGGCTTCCTTGTAATGCATAAGAGCTTCATTAAGTTTGCCCTGTTGTTGAAGAATGGAAGCCAGATTCGAGTGTGCTGCAGCAAACTCGGGAAATACTTCCAGAGCTTTGAGGTATAGGCGGGTAGCGTCTTCAGTGTGGCCCTGCAAAAAGAGCAACTTTTATAAATTAAACAAGAAATGGTAAAAGAATTTGGTAAATTATTAATGGCTAATACTGAACTTTCCTGAGAAACCCAATATAAGGATTAATAAAATGTTTGTACTGTATGTGAAACAGGTAGCAGGCTGGGAGCCAGCAACCTGATAGGATTACCGACCATTTCTGTCCCACAAATGCTTAACATTGCAGGTAAATCTTAGATTCTTACTTACATACAATATACATGTTCATTTTCAGTTAATATGAGCTGTAGATATTTGTTGTACAGTTAAATGATATAGGGTGGGTGGAGTAGCTGGATGACACACTCAAGTGCAGTAAAATACTGTGCATAATTTAAGAAAACTGTTCCAAATGGCTTTTATTTCTAACCTATTTCCTGTATCTTTCACTTGAGTACATTTAATTCTTACCTGCTCCCTCTTAATATTGGCAAGGTTGTTAAGTGAATCTGCATGAGTAGGACAGAGGCGAAGAGCTGTATTATAGCATTCCTCAGCCTCATTAACCTAAAAATAAAATAGTAATATAAATATACAGCCAAACCTATTAAAACTATGCTTATTATAGCAAAAAACCTGTTGATCCATTTTTCTTAAAGTCTTATAACAGGATGTATTGCTAGAGTTGTAGATGAATGGTTCAGAGAACCAACAAGTTGATAAATTCGACACATGTGCAACACTTGGGTATCTTTATTGAGGAAACGTTAGATATTGCTGTGTCACAGGAATGACACAGCAATATCTTGGGATCTTAATACAGGGAATTCTTCACTTGCCTAACCCTTGGGCATGACCTACTTCCACATTGGACAAATGTGATACCACCTACGACTGCTGCACCTCCCCTGCCTACAGTATATAAGCTACTTCTACGCACATATGCTGTATTCTTTTCAAGATTGATGGACTGACCATATCGACTCAAGGCTGAGGGACTGATTACCTCAAACTCCTCCTGTTCTTCAATGTTCTCCTTTGTATGGACCGATGAAGCCACTGTGTGGCGAAACATTTCCTCAATAAAGATACCCAAGTGTTGCACATTGCGAGAGTTGGCATATCTGCAAGAGATAGTCAGGAGGCAAGGCTAGAGCAGATTGATGGGAAGGACACTAGTCCAGGAAGGGGGGCTATGGGTAGTAGTAGTAGTAGGAAGGCAGACCACTGAGGTAGCTAGGAGCACAAAGCCCAGAGGCAGAGGGAGTCGAGCTGTTGACCAGATGGATCTGGGCACCTTTGTGTTGTTCATATTAACTATTAGAAAGATGGTACAACATTTAGTACCATAAAGAACGTTTAGAAAGACACGTAAGCCAAACCACCTCAACAACCCCTCTTCAGCCCTCTGACTAATACTCCACACCTTCTCGTAATTTCCACACTTCGAATTCTCTGCATAATATTTACACCACACATTGCCCTTAGACAGGACATCTCCACTGCCTCCTCGCTGCAGCATTTACAACCCAAGCTTCACACCCATATAAGAGTGTTGGTACTATACTTTCATACATTCCCTTCTTTGCCTCCATTGATAATGCTTTTTGCCTCCACATATACCTCAATGCACCACTCACCTTTTTTTCCCCTCATCAATTATATGGTTAACTTCATCCTTCATAAACTCATCCGCTGACACATCAACTCCCAAATAACTGAAAACATTCACTTTTGCCATACTCCTCTCCAATGTGATATCCAATTTTTCTTTATCTAAATCATTTGATACCCTCATCACCTTACTCTTATCAATGTTCACTTTCACTTTCTACCTTTACACACCCTACCAAACTTGTCCGCTAAGCTTTGCAACTTTTCTTTAGAATCACCCATATGCACAGTATCATCAGCAAAAAGTAACTCTGTCAACTCCCATTTTGTATCTGATTCCCTATAAAGGAATTTCAGTGACCATCTAATAACTTGGCTGGTAGGTATTAGTATTAGTATACTATATAAAAAATGCATGCAAAACTTGAAGCACTACTTTAAAAAATTTAATTTTGTGTAACTAGCAAAATCTGATTATGTTTGGATAATTTATATAATGAACATAACTAATATGGTGTCAGAACTTTCTCAAGAACAAAACAAAGTGGCAAACAAATTAACTGCTTGTAACAAACCTGTCCTTTTTCCTTGAGAGCATTTGCCAAATTGCAATATGCATCTGGGAAGTTGGGTTGCAACTCAATTGCACGACGGTAAGTGTCAATTGCAAGGTCAATGAGGCTGCAAAGGAAAGAGAAGTTGAACAGTGCACTAGTTACCATACTTTGGGACATCACCGTATAAGAAATGATGTAGTTCTAAGTAATGCCCTTGGCTGGGAAATCACTATATCCACATCCAAGACTACATACCTGTGGAACGTTTTAATAATGGCACAACGTTCAAAATGAAGGACTATCATTCCACCTACCACCATGTGACTAAAAACCCTGTATACAAATGCAATGGTCCCTCGCTTTTCGTAGTTCTCGGGAATCATAGATTTTGGAAATCATAGGGATATTTTCATATAAACATGGGCTCGCTAATCATAGGTTGACTCGCAAATAGTAGTTCGTCCGGGACGCATATGCACGGTGTGAGCCGGGGAGGCCTCCCTACCCAGCCAGTCTGGCATTGTTTACCAGCGAGCGAAGGTCCCCTCACGTGCTCCTATGAATATTTCATAATATTCCACTCATTTTAGTGCTTGCAAGTACTAAATAAGCTACCATGGCTCCAAAGAAAGCGCCTAGTGCCAAGCCTGTGGTAAAGAAGGTGAGAAATACGATTGAATTTAAGAACAGCAACAGATCGCAGCTCAGAACCTTGCTGCAGAGGAGGAGGAAGAGAGATGGAAGAAGGTGCCCTCTTCAGAAATTAGCGATTTTTGCTATGTGGGATAAGATGGAAAGCTTTATGGAGAAACATCACCCTGACAAGGTTGTTGCAAGCCATGTTGGCAACATGTACAGTGACAAAGTCTTGGGCCATTTTAGGGAAGTGTTAAAGAGACGCCAGAAACAGAGCTCTCTCCACAGTTATTTTGCGAGACAGGACTCCAGTGACTCTCAAGGTGGTCCTAGTGGCATTAAGAAACAGAGAAGAGAAGCAACCCCAGAAAAGCAATTGGTACCTGAGGTGTTGATGCAAGGGGATTCCCCTTCCAAACTGTAAACAATCCAATCTCTCTCCTTCTCCTGTCTCCCATACACTAAAAAGAATCTCCAATAAAGGTAAGTGTTATGCTGTTAATGTTTCATTCATCATTTCCCATTGTATTGTTTATGTACTACATCTATATTTCATGTAAAAAATTTTTTTTGTTTTAATACTTCTGGGTGTCAGGAACGAATTAATTGTATTTACATTATTTCTTATGGGGAAAATTGATTCGCAAATCGTAGATTTCGATAATAGTAGCAACTCCAGGAACGGATTAACTACGAAAAACGAGGGACCACTGTGCTGTACAGTGAAACCTCAAAAATTGAACGTATCACATATCGAACGTTTCGAAAATAGGACTAATTTTTCGCACAAACTGTGTCCCTATTATCGAACGCGCCCCTATTTTCAGACCGCCAGGTAAGGGACCTGTCTGCCGGCCCGCTCTGTCCGCGTCCCCACCCAGGCGCCGTGAGTAGTCTAGCTTTGTTTATGCTTGAGTGAACACTAACCTGCGCTCTCATTAACGCATTTTACGATTATTTCGTTGTGTTTAGTGCTTGTGGGACTGAAATAAGCTGCCATGGGCCCAAAGAAACTTGCTAGTGGTACCCCTGTAGTAAAGAAAGTGAGAAACACCATAGATGTGAAGAAGGAAATAATACAGAAGCATGAGAGTGGTGCGAGACTTGTTGAGCTTGCCAGGATGTATGGGAAAAACAAGTCGACCATCGGTTCTATCCTGTCAAAGAAAGAACAAATCAAGGAAGCTGATGTTGCGAAAGGTGTTAATATAAGGAGTGGATGAGGTGCCTTCTTCAAAGATTAAGGAGATTTGTGCCAAGTGGAATGATGTCCAAATGCTTGTGCAGAAGTACCACCCTGAGCAAGCTGAAACAAGCCATCTTTGCAACAAGTTCAGTGACAGAACCACGTCCCATTTTAGGGAAATGTTAAAGAGGCGCCAAAAACAGAGGACTGTGGGCAGTTATTTTGTGAGACGGGTCCAGTGACTCAAGCTGATCCTAGTGGCATTAAAAGACATAAGGGAAGTAACCCCAGAGAGGGCTTTACCTGAAGTCCTCATAGAGGGGATTCTCCTTCCATACACTAACCCCAACTCCCTCTCTCCTCCTCCCTATCTTCCAGATGCCATCACCAATCTTCAATAAAGGTAAGTAAAAATGTTATTTTATATGTATTACTATACATAATTAAAAACTATAGTATTTGTTGTATGTAAAACTATAATTAATCTCTATAAAATGTATTTTTTGTGTGAATATTTTTGGGTTTCTGGAATGGATCAATTGTATTTCCATTATTTCTTATGGGAAATATTGCTTCGAATTTCAGGCTTTTCGAATTTAGACCTAGCTCCTGGAACGGATTAAGTTCGATTTTTGATGTTCCACTGTACTAGAAAACTTGAACAACAAAAATGGTGAAATTATAATGTACATACAACTCTTGCAAGGAGGCTCTTGTGTCAATCAATGTAAAAAATAATTACCCATCACTATTTTTTATAGATGTTAAGACTTAACCCTTTTAGGGTTTCTGACGTACTAGTACGGCTTATGCACCAGGGTTTTTGACGCACTAGCACGTATAAATTCTAGTGCCCTCAAATCTAGTGAGAGAAAGCTAGTAGGCCTACATATAAAAGAATGGGTCTATGTGGTCAGTGTGCACGGTATAAAAAAAAATCCTGCAGCACACAGTGCGTAATGAGAAAAAAAACTTTGACAGTGTTTTTGGATTAAAACAGTGATTTTGCACTGTATTTTCGTATGGTATTTATTGTTGTATTCTAGTTTTCCTGGTCTCCTTTTATAGAATAGAAGACATATTACAGAAATTGAGATGATTTTGACTGGTTTTACAATGAAAAGTACCTTGAAATTGAGCTCAAAGTAGCAGAAATGTTCGATTTTTACCAAAGTTCAAACGTAAACAAATCATGCTAAGCGTCCAATACACGTCAACTGGCGAGTCTAATATTCTTTCACAAGTGCGCTGATATTGTTTATACCATTTCTACACTAATGCAGTAGTCTGCATAACAGTAAATCTTCTATTTTTTGTGAGAATAAAAATTCAAAGTGGAAAGCAAAAGAATGTAAGAGGGGCATGGGGACGTGACTAATGAACAGAGGGAATGTCATTTTAGTGCCAGGAATGTCTTTCTTGTTTATTCTGGACCCTATTCGGAAATTGGCATCTTTTGAAATTTGTGTGAAACTGGCAAAATTGCTAAATTCTGACCACTGTACTGGATAGTTGAATTTCATAAATGAGTGGTTTCTTGCAACCATTCGATAGAAAAAATGGAGTTCTAGCGAAATATTCATGTTTTTTGTCGACTAGTACACTGGAATTGGCCAAAAATAGGGCTTAAAGTTGGCAAAATCGCCAATGTGTAAGCATTGTCAAGACCGCTAACTTCGCGAGAGCATAATTCTGTAAGTTTTCCATCATATTTCATACTTTTGGTGTCATTATGATCGGGAAAAGATTCTCGATCTTTCCATAAGAAAAATTATACATTTTTTTTTTTTGAAATTTGGGCAACCCTGAGAACAAGTCTGGGAGAGGGCCTGGGGACCCTGAAAGGGTTAATGATAATACTAATTTGTGTTTCTACACAATATAACCTAAAGTCGTTATTTTCATTTATTTACTTATTAACACATCGGCTGTTTCCCACCAAGGCAGGGTGGCCCAAAAAAGAAAAAAAACTTTCATCATTCACTCCATCACTGTCTTGCCAGAGGCATGCTTACACTACAGTTATAAAATTGCAACATTAACACCCCTCCTTCCGAGTCCAGGAATCAAGTTCAGCCCTTCATAAATGTTATTTATATACAGTATTATTAATAAATAGCAATTTTAATAAATTTTTGCTTTTCTTAATGACAAATCCAGCAAATACTCAAAAATTAGTTTATTAATACTAACCCTTGCTCATAGTATACACAAGCCAAATTTCCATGGACAACTGCATGATTTGGAGAAAGGTTGAGTGCTCGGAGATAAGCAGCAACAGCCCTGCAACATATAAGTAGTAAAAATTAAAAAAACATATAAAAATTAACAAATACTGTAGTAGATATCTACTCTTAGTTTAATTGTCACTCCCAAAAAATAGCACTTGCTAACAGAAATTATTATAAACAACATATCCAGAGGAATGCATTGTTACAGCAGCACAACTTGACCAGTATAGCTTACTACATACCAAATATGATGGTTAACATTATCACCACTAAATATTAAACATGCCACATGAATGATTTATTAGAGAAAAATAACTTTTATCTGGGATCTGTAGTAAGCCCTTCCATTTACTAAGTGAATACATTGCCTGAATTATGCAGCACTGCAGTCTTTCCTACCTTACATTTGCTTTCTTCAATTGACTCTAGAAACTGTCATAACATGATTGCAAACCAATCACTGGTCTGTGAGGTTTAGGGCTCACTTGTCATAGGTTCAAACACCACCTGGGATTTATTTCTTCAACTGACATATCAGTTTGCTACAAGACAACAGTGGGTGGTAATGTTCTTGGTCTAAATGTCATTTAGCAAGACAGTGGGGAAACTGGTGACCCAATTTATTGGCACTGGAGACATTTTTCATGTGCTTCATGCATTGTATGACTTTCGTCCTACAGTTCATGAATATGTAATCGAGTTATATGAAGCCTCTCAATTCTGGAATATATACTTTGAATTTGCATATGCATAGAGGAAAGACTAAAAAATCCAGTCATAAAACAGTCCCAAACAGCAAAATTCAGTGAAAGGCTACTGAACATGGCAATATAAATTATGCAGTTAAGTACTGATAAATGACTATGGTAAAATAACTTAACAAAGAGAACTTTCATTCACGTCGTCACTGATTCTGATTCTTTACCTCTCTATGTTCAAGTGTTTTCAGATATCCCTCATTACAATCCTTCCACTGTCTATCCTGTCTATGCCTTAATGCTTTGCATGTCATGAACTCTTCCACTCCTATTCTGTCATCACAGCTCATTCTCAACTCAGAAACTAGGTTTGTTGCAAATCTTATCTTTTTTTGCTCGAGTTTAAATATATGTTGTACAAGGTGATATTTGGGTTGCATATTAAAAATGGACTCCCAAATGCCACTGTTTGTGAGCACAGTCTGTGCTCTTTTGTTATCCTGTTTTTGAGGCAGATATGAAGTAATGGAAATTCAAAGCTCTTTTCTTTAACTGTTTCTGCAAGATCCATCCTCTCACTGTACTCTCTTATCACCTTTCACTTTCCCCCCCCCCAACTTCATAACAATGCTTTTGCTTGGGTTAAACTGCAGTAACCATTTACTCAACCATTCCTGCAGTCTACTTTCATCAGCTTTAGTTGCAATTACATAGCTGCAACCCCCATCCTATGCTCTCACTTATAGTGACTAAAATCATTTTCAATTTAACCCTTTCAGTGGCTGTCACATACATTTATATTATTGATGCCAGGGATCCCTCATGTAGATCAATGTTCTGAGCACAACTCCCTCAGATGAGCTCTAAGTAGTAATTTTCCTTGCCTAGATACAAGAGAATAGGTCTATGCAGCGAGTGTGCACAATATATAAAAAAATCCTGCCCCACACAGTGCATGATGAGAAAAGCAAAACTCAGACCACACATTTGGTTTAAAACAGCAACTTTGAGGTGTTTTTTTTTAGGATAGTTTTTATGGTTTTACCGGCTGTTTCTTGGTATCATCTGACAGAAATAGAAAATATAGTATTGAAATAGGGATGATTTGGATAGGTTTCAGGAACAGAAGTACCTTGAAACTGGGCTCGAATTAGCAGAAGTATTTGATATTTGCCAATTTTCCCCAGGACAGGTACCCCCCCCCCACACCACCAATCTGTTTTATAGGTTTTTTAATAGGTCTGATTCAATTAACGGATGCCATAATCCATGACCAATATTTCCTGGTCATATTTTATCTGAGAATTTGGGTAAACCTTGAATTTTTTTTGTGGTGATGAATTCAAAATGGAAGGCAAGTGTAATATAGGAAAGAGACCTAGGGACATGCTTAATGATCAGAGGAAATGTTTCAGTGCCTGGAATGCCTACAGCATTTATTTTGGACTATTTTAAAATTGAAATGTTTTGTGTAAAAATTAAAAAAGTATCAATTTCTGTGCACTGTATAGGGTAGGTCTGATAGTTGAATGGGCAGTTTCTTGTGCTCGACCGATAGAAAGGAAAGCACTCGAGCAAAATAGCTAAGAGTTGGGTCAAGTGAAGCAATGGAAATAGGGAAAAAATCACCTATGCATAAACTGCACCCAGACCATTAACTTTGCTCCTGCATAATTCCATAAGTTTTCATAATATTTCATATTTTTGATGTCATTACTTTCAGAAAAAGATTCTCTGCCATTTCAGAAAAAAGCAATATTTTTCTTATTTATGTGGACAGTGTAATATCAACCATTTTTTTTATCCAGTACACGAAGTAGCCATATTAAAATCTTTCTTGCACATCTCTCATCTCATATCTGTTAATCTATTTTAGGCTTCTTTTTTTTTTTTTAATACTTCGGCAGTCTCCCACTGAGGTAGGGCGAGCAGATAAAGAAGAAAACCCTTTCACTGTAACACAATCAATCAGTTTCGTCAGAAGGGTGCATTATTATTATTATAATCAAAAAGAAGCGCTAAGCCACAAGGGCTATACAGCGCTGCAGGGCAGGAAGGAAGCGAGGGTATCAGGTGGCAAAAAAGAGATGGACGAGTAATAGGTTACGGAGAACAGCGGGGCAGTGGATGGTGTAAGGGTAGAGGGCAGCAAGAGATTGAGGTAGAAACGGCTGAGGGGAGTGCGAAAGGTATCAGAGTTTGTGGAGTAAATCAGTTGTTGTCAAGAAGTCAATGAGAGAGTCAGGATTAAAGGAGGGTCCATCAGCAAGAAGGGAAGGTAAAGAGAGAGTAGTAGAGCGGAGACAACGTTGGAGGTAAATTCTGCGTGCTCGTTGATAGAGGGCAGTCTAACAGAATGTGGCTAATCGATACTGGAACTTGACACTGCTCACAGAGAGGAACAGGGCGCCTCTCCATGAGATACTAATGAGTAAGATGAGTGTGGCCAATGCGAAGCCGGGAGAGAGTAGTCTCCCAACCTCGGCACTGATGACAAGAAGACGGCCAGTAACCTATGCTCGGTTTAATAGAATGAAGTTTGTTACAGAGCAGAGTTGACCAACGTTGTTGCCAACAGGTGTGAAGGTGGGTAGCTATTACAGCAAAATAGTCCAGAAATGGAACACCTCTATATGAAATTGGTAGGTCATGTACTGCTGACCGCGCAGCAGTGTCTGCCTGTTCATTGCCCTGTATGTCGACATGACCAGGGACCCAACAAAAAACAATATCTTTATGCTTGATAGAGATACGGCGTAGCCAAAGTTGGATACGGAGAACTAGGGGGTGAGGTGTATCAAATTTTCGTATAGCCTGTAGAGCACTAAGGGAGTCTGAGACTACCACAAATGATGACACAGGCATAGATGCGATACGAGTAAGTGCTGCAAGAATGGCATACAATTCTGCAGTAAAAATGCTAGCCGAAGATAGTAAATGCCCTCGCACGACGCTCTCCGGAAACACTGCTGCGAATCCGACACCATCTGAAGACTTAGAGCCATCTGTGTGCACAGCGATGGCATGAGAATGAGAGTGGAAGTGATCAAGAAAAAGAGAGCGGGAAGCCACGGTAGGCAGTTGGGCTTTCGAGCAAGGGAGTGAGAAAGAACAGATCCAAACAGCTGGAACCTCCCAGGGGAGGTAGGGAAAAGTGAGATGCTACATGAACATATAAAGGTGGTAACTGAAGGGAAGACAAGAGCGAATGTAGGCAAAGAGAAAAGGGACGGAGCAAACAGGGGAGGCAAACAAATAAAGAATGTCTACTAATATCGGTGACCATTCTATAAATGGAAGGATTGCGGAGATCGTGAAAGCGTACATAGTAGCAAAGGCAATGGGCATCACGGCGATCAGACAAGGATGGAACATTCGCTTCTGCATAGAGGCTCTCAACAGGGGAAGAACAAAAAGCACCAAGGCATAAACGTAATCCTTGGTGATGGATGGGGTTAAGGCTAAAGAGAGTAGCAGGAGAGGCCGCTGAATAAATCTGGTCACCATAATCGAGTTTCAATAAAATGAGGGCGAAGCAGAGTTTGACGATCAGATCCCCAGGAAAGATGAGCAAGGGTTTTAAGAAGGTTCAGCCGGCTGTGACAAGTTGCCTTCAGAGAGGTAATGCGAAGTTTCCAGGATAACCTACAGTCAAAGAGAAGGCCAAGAAATCTGACTATCACGTTCGGGGATATGGGAGCCATAGAGGTACAAAGGATGATCGGAGATGACAGAGCGTCTAGTGAAAGTAATTTGGCGAGTTTTGGTACTGGAAAATTTAAACCCATGCGTGGTGGCCCAATTGGAAACATGGTCAACCGCATGCTGGAGAGAAACTGTAATAAGATGACAGTCAGCGCCTGCACAAGCAATAGCAGTCATCAACAGAGTGATGACCAAATATTGGGTGGAAGAACAGAGGCCAAATCATTTATAGCAAGGAGAAAAAGTGTTGTGCTCAGAACACATCCCTGAGGGACACCTTCAGCTTGGACGAAGTCCGGGGAAAGCAAATTATTGACTCGAACACGGAAATGTCTGTCAGTTAAAAAGTTCTTAAGGAAGGATGGTAGATTGCCTGGGAGGCCTAAGGAGTGGGCTTGGGCCAAAATATTATACCTCCAAGTTGTGTCATATGCCTTCTCAAGGTCAAAAAATATGGCAATAACTGAGTGATTATTCGCAAAGGCATTACGAACATACGTATCCAAGCGGAGTAAGGGGTCTATGGTAGAACGGCCCTTATGAAAGCCATATTGACTAGTGGAGAGACTATTGTGTGTCTCTAAACACCACATTAAACGTCGATTTACCAGACGTTCCATCACTTTTGCAAACTGCACTAGTAAGAGCG